CCCCCCCCCTGCAACCTGCACCTGCTCCACAGCCTCTTCGACTGCCGTTGCTCCGGGCCGCACCCCATGTCGGCGAGCTCGACCTCCACGACGCCCTCCCCGACCTCTTCCACCACGCCCGGTGGCCCATCATGATGTTCTCTGTCCAGGTGTCGGCTGCGGAGCGGAGCGCGGGCGCAGCTGGCGGTCTGAAGCGGTGAGAGACACCTCCCGCGGGTTCCGATGTGCATATTGACCTTCTCCCTCCCTCCCACTTTTGTCTCCGTTTGTCTCACTTCCACTCACAACAAACGGCCGCTTGCTCGTCTCGATACACCGCGGTGCACGCGGCGCGCGCGCAGCTGCAGCGCGTGTCTACTACTCACCCACTGCCCCCCCATGACTGCCATGAAGCTGATGTGTCTAGGTGGCCGTGCTTCTTACAGGCACGAGACTCCTGTGTTGGCTAAGCGCATCCGTCTGGTACATGTAGACGAGGACATTGTGGCCCTGGACAAGCCGTGCTCCCTGCCGGTGAGTACTTCCCCCCTCCCCTCCCCCACCCACCCGCTAGAGCCAGCAATTTGAAACCCTGTGAGGCGGGGCGGCCCCGGAACGGATGGCACTGAACCGGGTAGACACCCCCATCGTACACGGCGCCCGGTCCTATTACAGAACACGGGTAGGAGTTCCTTGAGTCTTTTACGGGTAATTACTGTTCAAAAATATGTTGTGACTTCCCAACATTTTCTCGATTTTATTTCCCCCCAAAAATCACAAAGAGTTCTGGCTAATTTTTTTTCATTGCGAATTCTTCGTGAAGTTCTGTTTTTATTTTAAACAGTGTTATGCCGCTATGCACGAAAAGGCAGCGCACCGTCGTTTCGTAATCCCTTTCACTAAAATATCATTAAATAAAAAGATATAAATATCCTCAAAATCTAAAGAGTTTTCCTCAAATTATGGGAGTTCCTCCAAAAGTCAATCATTTTGTCTTACTTTTTTTTTATTTTTTTCATTATTATTATTTTCCCAGAACAAGCGGGTATTTCAGCACAAACCCATCAAAAAGATTTCAGGTCCTACCTTTGTTTTCTAGGGACGTGCCATCGTTTCGTGCCGCTCCGTTTGGCTCAGCCGAGCTTGTGTTTTAACTTCTAAGGCGCCGCGGACGGCCGAAACCTTTTGATGTGAGGTGCAGTAGTAAATTTGTTGTGTGTTTTTGTGAGCGCTTTGGCCACACGGCCAACCCACAGGTTTTGCAGTGTAAAGGTCGCCCAGACGTACGCTGTTAGAAAAAGGCAGTACTTTGTAGGCCAGCAAGTTTGTTGAGGTTGTGTGCAATAGTGGTCCTAACTTTATTGAAAGTGAAAATTTTCGTTTGCTTCTCCCTCTGTACTTGTACTCTGTACAACGGTAAGGAAGTTCCCATCGGTTCTGGACTTAAAACATTGAACGAGTATTGGAGTGCGGCTGAATGTAGAGCAATGTTCTATCGATCACTCGATGGTTCTAGGTGTGGGTAATTCTACGATTAATATCCTCACTCCGACTATGTGCTTTTAACACACCGCCCTCGCCCACCGGGCCACTGACCTCGACACGTGAAGTGTTCAACCGGCAATCACCTGAAAATGTTAAACTCCGGTTCACGCACATCTAGGTGTTTGACAGGTAATATGAAAACTTAAAAGTGTTGACTCGAAACGTTTAACACTCCCCAGCGTTCAAACTTTCCAGCTCAACACTTAGTCAAACACTTTCAAGTGTCGGACGCTTCTGATGTCAGTGTGCCTTGTGCCCCGGGCCAGTGCGGGGTTTGGGGGTGGGGGAGTGACTGCTTCCTCCGACCCTCCGGCTACCGCACCACGCGACCCAAACAAGACCCCGAGCTGCCCTTACCCCCTTACAACTCTACTCCCACCCCTCTCCTACTCCGAGTTCGGTCTGTCGTGTAACGCCGTCTCACCCCTCCCCCTTCCCTGCTCCCATACAGACCACCAGTGCTGCCTGCAGCCTGCTGTTCGCACCTGTGGACACGGATGTGAACCTGTTCGTCTCTCTCTCTCTCTCTCTCTCTCTCTCTCTCTCTCTCTCTCTCTCTCTCTC